GGGAGCTGGAGACACTGCATTAGCAGGTGTGGATGAAAGGGATTGCAATATGGGCTGTTACCAATAACACTTCAGTCTAAAGAGAGAGTGAAGGGGCTTGGGGAAATCAAGATGATAAATTCAACAGAATCACAGACTAAGATGGGGGGATGGGAATACAGAGATCCTGGAGTATGAAATCTTTATTGTTTAGGTGGACAAACTAAAACCCAGAAACAGACATGGGCAGAATCAAGGTCATAGCATCTGAGGACGTAGCACAACAAGGACCAGGTTCCCATCTAGCATGTGGCCCTCCCCTGTCCCTGTGTGGGTCCCACATCTCTGATCAGACTAACCTGCATGGCTCTTGGTGATAAAAAATGCAGGACCTGGTATTTGTAGATGCAGAGTATATATGTGTAGATTGATGACTTAGACAGCAAAGCTGACTATTCATTTCTGTTTCTGCATTTTTAGCAGATCTTTGAAGGAAAGGGAGAAGGGGGAGACCAAAGGTCAAGGAGAGGCTGAGTTGCGCAAGCATGCTGAAGCCGAGCCTTCGTGATCCATAAGGGCCTGCTCCCCTGTCCTCTGTGCATGGGGGTCTTAGAAGTACAGGAGAAGGTAGATCACAGGGTTACACGTGTGCATGCGTGTGTAATGTGACATATTGGTTTCTACACCGCAACTGATTTCTCTGTGTTTCTGATAGACGAGGGAAGAAAGGAGGGAGAATTTGGGCAAAGAAAAAATTTGTAGAGAGAATGTCTGGGATGCTGGTAATAAACAGGCAAGCGATAATGCCTTCCACAAATGGAGCCACTACAACCATAAAACACCAGCACCTGCCACACCAGCTTGACACAAGTCACCTGCCCAGCCTGCCTTCTGCGTGGCTCTATACCAGGCTGCTGCAGAGGCATCATGGGCTCCCGGGAAACTGCTGCCTGTCTGGTCCCCACCCAGAACCTGACTGCCTTCCTCCTCCTCACCACCAAGGGGACAGAGCACTTGCTGAGACAGGAGAAAAAGAGTTAAACTGCAATGGCCTGTCACTTCTACAAGGTTTCCAGGACAACACTATGGAGACAGTGACACGTGAATTCTCTACCATGTATCTTTTGAGGCTGTGTCCTTTCTCCCACTCCCAGGATCTTCTCCATTATATGCCCTTGTCCAGGCCAGGACCTCCGCTTCTCCAGGTCTGCTCCCCAGCAGGCCTGAACTCCTTCATTTTCCTCCAAAGGAAGCCACGGCAGCTGAGAACTCACAACATCAGGTTTTATTTAACCCCTACAAGAGGCCAGGCACAACTCGCTAAGAGCTTGAACTGCACTGCCTTTTTTAACTCTCACAACAAATTAATGACGTAGATACTGCTGTTAAGATGCTTGCTTTGCAAATCAGAAAAACAAGGCTTATTGTCACATAGAAAGAGTACACTCCAAAAGTAAAGCCATTGGCCAGAGCCCATGCATTTAAGCACCTTGTTATAGGTCTGCATTTTAACCAGGACCACTGACTTTGAGTCAGCAGGGATATATGCCCAAAAGGGCTTTTCTAGCCCCTTGAAATCACCTGCTTGAAATACCTCAGCCCCTTGAAATAATTAAGGTGCTCAGCCAGGACCCAGGTCCTTCCACAAAAACAATTCTCCCACTTTCATGGTATCCATACTAGTCTTTGTGCAACACTTGGTACTTTTCCTGTGTATTCTCCCACTCAATCCTCAAATTGGTCCTGTGATGTAGTTAAGGTAGTGATTAGTCTAATCTTACAGATGAGGAAAGGAGGGCTCACCAGGGTGAGGGTGAGCAGGGTCACAGAGCTCATAAGCAACACAGCCTGGGCCAGAAGTCAGGTTTTGAGATTCTTTATCAGCCCTCTTCTCCATCACACCCAGGTTTTGTTCAAGGATCTCACCTAGGAACAAGCAAAGATTTCCCACAAGCTAATCACCACACAAAAGGATTTCAATCAGGTACTGCTTGGCAACAGCTAACAAAGCCCTTCCTTCTTTTCTTCTTTTTAACCAAGTCCTGGAGAATCAATCAGGACACTAGTGCAGCAAAGGCTTTCTATTCTCTCTGCCCCAGCCTCCACCCAGGGAGGAGGAGCAAGCAGAGGAGCAAGGGCTGAGCTTCTCACAAAGAGAGAGCAATTGACAAGATGTCCTTAAAGGGAGGGAAGAACCACAATGCCTTCATTAAAAAGGAGATGTAAACAGCTGTCTAGCCTTTTGAAAACACTCCCTGTTGGGAACAGGGATGACAAAGAGAAAAATGCAGCAAAAGGAAAGAACATCTAAATGAACAGGAGGCAGCTGTTCCAGGACAGGACTCTAGGATGTCAGTTAAGAGTTTCAGATCCCTTGGTGGCTTCCTTATGTCAAAAAATGAAGTTCACATATATAGGTTTTTAATATTATTATTATAACCTAAAATAAATGAAGAGGTGGGGTGAGGTAGAGGGAGAAATTAGACAACAAAGTTTCAAAAAAAGGCAAAATCTTAAAAGTAGGCATTATAAAAAAGTTAAGAATTATTAGATATTACAAATGAAGGTCTTTACTTCTTTGTTTACTGTTCCCCTAAGTATGTTCAGTGAGAGCAGTTACACTGGAATTTACATTTTCAAAAGAAACAGTTCATAAAATATGAAAAGTATCCTTAAATTTATGAATATTGATGAATTTAAAAATCATCATTCTTTTTTAATTTTGCATTTAGGAATTTCTTCTTTGGACTCAGTCTTGAAAAATATTATCTCCAAGCAAAGTTATAAAATATAGCATAACGTAGAGAAAAAAAATCTTCCCAGTAGGATGTACATAAGATACTAATATGCATATGGTATCTATAAATATTTTAATCATTTCATTTAATACTGAGTTGAAACATGAATGCATGAATATGTGAGACCTAAGCTGTAATAGCTGATCCCAAAAATGTTCACTTTATTTTTAAAATAAACAATATGTACAATAAAAATAAAATAAAGTCCAGGTGTTATCGCTGGTTTTACGACTCCCTTTCTCGATCATAAGCTCCCTTCCAGTTTTCTTTCCCACCACTCTCCTGCACGTTCTCCAGACTCCAACCAAAATGAACAACTATTCCCCATATGTACTTTAAGCCAAGGGGTTCATAATCAGATGCCTAAAAGGTCCAGCCAGAAAAGTGATGGAGTAAAGCCAGCTGGGAGTAAGTAAAACAATATGCCAGGCATATTTTTAATGACTACATTTGACTCCCAGAAAACCAATAGAGTGATGAGGCCTGAGGTAAACTGGAACATTACTGCCCTATCTAATGAGGGTAGAAATTTCCCAGCTCCAGCCAATCATGGCTCAGCTTATACCTAACTTTACACCTCAAAGAATAAAAAACAAATAACAAACTAAGCCAAAAGGTAACAGAAGGAAGGAAATCACAAAGCTCAAGAGCAGAAATAAATGAAAGACAGACTAAGAAAGACAAAAGAAAGGATCAATGAAACTAAGAGCTGATTTTATTTTTGAAAAATAAACAAAACAGACAAACCTTTATACCTACCCAGAAAGATGACCCAAATAAATAAGATTAGAAGTGAAAGAGGTGATATTATAACTGATATAATACAGATACAAAGAATCATAAGAGATTACTATGAATAATTATATGCCAAAAAATTGGACAACCAAGAAAAAAACTGACAAATTCTTATAAACATACAACCCACCAAGACTGAATCATGAAGAAATACAAAACCAAAATAGACTAATTGTCAGAAAGGAGACTGAATCAGTAATCAAAGACCTCCCAACAAAACAGAACCCACAACCAGATGGTTTCACTGGTAAATTCTATCAAATTTAAAATTTCATTATTAAATTTCATCATTAACTTTATTATAAAATTCTATCAAATTTAATAATAAAAAATTACCAATCCTTCTCAAACTCTTACAAAAAATAGAAGAGGAGGGAACACTTCCAAACACATATTTCAAGGCCAGTATTATCACGATACCAAAGCTAAGCAAGGACACTATTAAGAAAAAGAAATTACAGGCCTGTATCCCTGATGAACATATATACAAAAATCCTCAACAAAATTTTAGCAAATTGAATTCAATAGTACATTAAAAGGATCATACACCATGATCAAGTGGGATTTACTCCAGGGATTCAAGGATGGTTCAACATTCATAAATCAATAAATGTGATAAACTATCTCAACAAATTAAGATAAAAATTATATGATGATCTTAATAGATGCAGAAAAAGCATTTGAAAAAACTCAACATCCTTTCATAGTAAAAATTCTGAACAACTTGAGTATAGAGGAAAGGTATTTCAACATAATAAAGACCATCTATGACAAATATACAGCTAATATCACAATCACAGTGAAAGGCTAAAAGCTTTTCTCCTAAGATCAGGAACCAGGATGCCAACTCTCAAGACTTTTATTCAACAGACTACTGGAAGTTGTAGCCTGGGCAACTAGGCAAGAAAAAGAAATAAAAAGCATCCAAATTGGAAATGAAGAAGTTAAGCTATCTCTATTTATAGATAACATGGTATTATATATAGAAAACCCTAAAGTTTCCCCTCAAAAACTGAAAAAACTAAACTAGTAAAACTAATACACAAAAAACTAATAAATGGTGTCAGTAAAGTTGCAGGATAGAAAATCAATATATAAAAATCAATTGCATTTCTATATACTAACAACAAACCATCAAAAAGAGAAAATTAGAAAATAACCCCATTCACAGTAGCATCAAACAGAACTCACGCAAGTCAATAGCAAAAATATAAACAATCTGATTTTAAAATGGGCAGAGGAACTGAATAGACATTTTTATAAAGACATACAAATGGCCAACAAGCACATAGAAAGGTGCTCAGTATCACTATTAGGAAAATGTAAATCAAAACCATAATGAGGTATCACCTCACATCTGTTAGAATGGCCATTATAAAAAGACAAAAGATAATAAGTGTTGAGGAGGAAGTAAAGAAAAGGAAACCCTTGTGCACTGTTGGTGGGAATGTAAATTGGTACAGTCACTATGTAAAACAGTATGGAAGTTCCTCAAAAAAATTAAAAATAGAACTATCATATATGGTTCATTGCAGCATTACTTGTAAAAGCCAAGATACGGAAACAAGCTTAGTATCCATCAACAGATGAATAAAGATACAATGTGTATGTGTGTGTATATATATATGTAGATATCTATTATTCAGCCTTAAGAAAAGAAGATATCCTGCCATTTTTGACAACATGGATAGACCCTGAGGGCATTATACTAAATGAAATAAGTCAGAGAAAAACAAATATTGTATGATTTCACTTATATGTGGAATCTAAAAAAAGCCAAACTTACAGAAACAGAGACTAGAATGGTGGTTACCATGGCTGCGAGTGGATGTAAAGAGGAGATACTGGTCAGAGTACAAACTTTCAGTTGTAACATAAATAAGTTCCAGGAATCAAATATACTATATAGTGATTATAGTTAATAATACTCTATTACATACTTTAAAGTTACTGAGAGAGTCAACCTTAAGTATTCTCGGCACAAAAAACAAACGGCAATCATATGATGTAATACAGGTGCTAACTAATGCTATGGTGGTAATCATTTTGCAATATATAAATATATCAAATCAACACATTGTACATTTTAAACTTACACCGTATTATATGTCAATGATAGCTCAATAAATCTGGAAAAAACAATCATGGCCCAGCTTGAAGGCAGGTTCAGGATTGCCAGAGCTTCTGAATGAAGTGAACCCAGCAATGAACATATCTATATGAAAATTTATATGAAATATTCTGATAATCAAATCTAATAACTTTTTCAACATGCTACAGACTAAACAATATGTTTCTGTGTGCCAAAGCTAGCATGATAGTGGCTAGTTTTAAGCCTTTATTTTAATTTCTTTACTCCTTATACATAAGAGTCTCCCCTTCTCCACTGCTGATTACAAGCCTACCCCTTCATAACCTGAAAATGTAGTACAATGCTAAGAAAAATGTCTCCTGGTTGCATTTTTAAAAAATAATATATTAGGGGAAAATGCTATAAAATTTGGGACAAAAACAAGTCTACTAAATACAATAGGTCTAGTAATCTCTATCAGGCTAGTATCATGAGAGATAAATGGTCTATGAGGAACAGCCTAGTACAATGCCAAAGGGCAGCAGGGCCCCGGGTCAGATGGCTCTGTCATTTATTAGCTGTGTTACCCCAAGTGGGTTACTTCATCCTCTGAGACCCATTTTCCTCATCTGAAAAATGAGGACTAATGGTGTCTACCTGCCTTCCTTCAAAGTGGTTGTGGAAATGAAATCAAATTGAAAATACATTAACCCACTTTCAAAATTGTAAAATGATGTAAAAATGTAAGGAATTATTACTAATGTCAAGTTTCTGGGTTAATAAAAATTTAAATTAAAAAATTACAAATTAAGTGCCTTTTTAAAGTGCATGCCTACTATCCATTGCCAGAACTTAGAAAATAATTCTTTTAAAAAATGTGCATCCCTCTTGGGTCCAGAAATTCTATTACTAAAAAATTAGCCTGAGGAAGTAAATTTCCTTTAGCTACCTCCATGAAATACTTGTAATAAGACCACAAAATTCTTAAGTTCCCATGAAGGACAGGTATCAATTACTACTATACAATGAAAAGGAAATCACTTACTAAAATGCAGTGTGGTGCAGTGGCAAGTATACTGGCCTAGAAATCACTAAACCAGGGTTCCAGTCCTGGGTCATCAGCCAACTCACTGAGGAAGTTTGGCCACCAGTTAAACTCCATCCGTACAGGAAAAGGTTGATCTCAGTGGTTCCTAGGTTCTCTCTCACGATAGCCTCCTAATTCCCTGCCCTCTTTACCTATTCTCTATCCAGTAGCCAAACCAGATCAGGTCACTTTCCTGCTTCAAATCTCTCTGCAGATGTCTTCATGGTTTGCATACAGACAATAGTGCTTAAAATGGCCTCTGCCCTCATTTCCAACCTCCTGTCCCCTTACTCACTCCATAGAAGCCCCATCACCTCCTTCCAGTCTGTCAGGTGCAGGTCAGCTTTTGCACCAGTTGTTTATTCTTCCCAGAAGCACCTCCTCCCTCGACCATTAAACTGATATTGTATACCAAGTAAACTCCTACTCATCTGTGAAACCTCCAAATAAAAATCCCTTCATCAGAGAGGCTTTCCCAGTTATTCCGATCTAAAAAATTCTCTTTTAGGACCCTATAGTTCTCTCCATAGTACACCATAGCTTATAATTAGAGTTCCTTGGGTGGTTGTTTGCTTAAAGACTGTCCCCTGCTCACACGGTCCCCAGAGGTTGGTGTCTTGTCTGCTTTGTGTACCACATACAACCAGCGTGTCCCTGCCTGACTTATAGTAGGTGCTCAGTGCTCAGGAAGCAGTTAATTAACTAACTCACAGCTAAATAATGATGCGACCATCGTGAGTTTCCAGAGCATAGAGGTAGGAACATAGCAGACAGGGCAAATGGATTATAATACAGGACAGGTCTAGGGGACAAAGAAGAGGCGCTGGCAAGAAAAGGGTCTTGGCTTAAGGACAGAGAATATCAAGAGCAAGACATGAATGCAGAAAGGTCCATGAAGTGCATTTGCAAAGCTGGGCAGTGTCCCTTTACACAGTATCTTGGGTGGACACTGTGCATGTGTAGTTGTGTGTGTGTGTGTGTGTGTGTGTGTGTTGGGAGTGGAGGACAGACTTGCTCTGTTCTGGCAAAGCTGAGTCGTCCCACCGGCTTCTGGCACTGCCACCACCTCTGATTGGCACCTGCACCTCTGGAATGCAGTGGGTGTTGGCAGGCAGGGCCTCACTATTGCATGTCCGCCCCGCTGTGCTGCACTGCAGCCGCTGCGGTCTGATGTGCTGAGTCCTGGCAGGGCAAAGGCATCCTAATCCAACTGTCTCTCTGATGTGCCAGTTTTCACCCTGAGATGGGACCCACCAAACAAAAGCCACCTGTTCGCACTGTCACTCACGGCCTCCTGGTGGTAACAACACTATTTCAGTGTAGCCAATGGTGTCTGGGAGGCCACGAACCAGCCTCTGACAACCTGTCCCAGGGCAGTGCAGCAGCAAGGGAGAAACCATGACCTCGATCCTCTACACTGACAATAGGAAGCCAATACCTAGAATGAGGTCAACAGGGAATATTTGCTCAAAGTATTATTTTTACTTGAGAAATTTTTTCCTTTATTTTTCACGTAATTTTTATTATCACTGATCAAGGTCCTGTATGAATATGCAAACTGTGAATGGATATAAACATGTTACTTATCAATGATGTGTCTGTACTGAACCCCATTTTGCATTTGACCATTTCTAAAGCTCCATTGCATGCTTTCTCCTTTGAGTGTCACAGCAATCCTGTGAGGCCAATGGACATCATATTAATTTCCTGGGGCTGCTGTAACAAATTATTACTCACTTGGTGCCTTCAAAACAAAATAAATGTATTTTCTCACAGTTCTGGAAACCAGCAGTCTGAAACCTAACAGGGTGATACTCCCTTTGGAGGCCTCTAGCAAAGGGTCTGGTCCTTGCCTCTTCCAGCTTCTGGTGGCTGCGGGCATTCCTGAGCTGCTAGCTGCATGCAGCATTCCAATCTCTGCCTCCATCTGCAGATGGCCACCTTCCCTGTGTGTTGAATCTCCCCCTGCTTCTCTCTTCTAAGGACATTTGTGATTGCATTTACAGTCCCTTGGATAATCCAGCATAATCTCCTCTTCTGAAGATCCTTAACTTAATTACATCAGCAAAAATCCCTTTTCCAAAGAAGGCAACATTCCCAGGTTCCAAGGATTTGATGAGAATGTCTTCTAGGGGTGCTATTTTTCAGCCAACGATAGACATGTCTGACTGTTGCCATTTCACAGATAAGCAAACTAAGGTGAAAGACGTACCCATGGTCACACAGCTAGTAACAGAGACAACGTGAAAACCAATTCTTAACACTAAACTCAGGACACTTCAGCTCTATCAGGTGGCCTCCCAAATGTCCCTCTGAAAGAGAGGGAAAAAAAAAAATTCTCTAGGTCTCAAAGACAGCTCAGTCTATGTGGGGAGTTCTGGGATCTCCCAGATACACCCAAAGTCAAGTGACTTGCCCAAGGACCAGTTGGTGACTGAGCTACCAAGGGAGCCAAGCCCTGGAGGCCAACTGGATGGAGAAGCTTCCTGATGTGAGGCCTCCTTGGTCGGTCACTCCACAAGGGCCATCCCTGCCACAGCCCTCCAACTGGGGTTCTTGCACCCAAAGACAGTAGGATCCATCAATGAAGACTTTCTGGAAGCAACAAAACTGCAAGCCAAACCCACAAGGGACAGAAATCTATGAAGTAGCAGGGCTATTCATGTTTATGAAGAGTCTATGAAGACTTCATAGTCGATGTCTATGATGAGGAGGGCACACGTTTGAGGGAGGCAGAAGCTTAAGGCCTGGACAGGAAACAGGACCAGACTGACTGGACTAGAAGACTTCAACTGAAGGTTCTGTAGGGAAAATGTGTGCTTCAGCACAAAACTCTGCATTGTTCACAGCACACCCTTCCACCTTATCTGATCTGACTGTGGGAATTATTTTTACTCTGCAAATTGTAGATAACTGAAAACAGTGCAAGATAATTCTTGCCTATAGATGTGCAAATGAATTGTGGGGAACAACCCTCCCCACCCTGAGGGAAAAAACTCATTTTGTCTCTATTTGCAAATTCATTTCAATATTCCTGATTTCTAAATGCTTCTGTTCTTTGAATTCTCCTTTGAACTGGCTGTAATATCACAGCTGTTTCCTCATTAAATAAGTTAAGTAAGATCTTTAACACGAGCTAATTTTTAATCTATATGAGAGTCATGATTTTATCTTTTAATTTTCTTTTAACAGTTCGTAGGAGAGCGTTCTGAATGGCCAGAGCCAGAAACTACCTTCAAGCTCATCTACTTCAATACGTTTTATTGATGAGGAGACTGAGGCTCAGAGAGGGGAAAGGACTTGTCTGAGGATCCAGGGATGGGGGCAGCAGAACCTGAGCCAGTGCATGGCCCTGGGTAAACAGTCCCACAGACCAGGATTCCTATCCAAACTAGCCCCTAAAAAGTGTGTGACTCAGGCAAGTCACTTACCTAAAAGAGCTCCAGTTTCCCCATCAATTATCTACTTCATATCATCCACTCACACTAGGATGCCTTGAGGGTCAAATGAGATTATGCACGTAAAGCAGTAAGAAAGGATCTCCAGAAGTGCTCAACAAAGGTCAGATAACAAGAGTTTTGCTACCCAGTCCTGAGGTGGTAGCAGGGAAGAAGGGTTGTGCTCAAGGTGATCCTGAGAAGTAACTGAATTTTACATCTGTCTTATAGTAGATTATCATGTCAGTATTTCATCATAACTCACTCTCTACCCAACAGAAGGACAGATATACTGAGGACAGGGATTATCATCTTCTCTTGGATAAATACTCTCTATACGCTTGGGTACTGAGCTAAATGCTTTACATACATCATCTCATTTAATCCTCACTAAACCTAAGGGGATAGGTAATATTATTTGGTTCCTATAGCAAAGACTGGTGGCTACCTATTCAATATCCAATATCCTTTTCTTCTTTACTAAGTAAACTCCAGTTTTACTGGGAGCTGCAAAGGACTCAGACAAAATATTCTATCTCTCAACATCTCCTGCAGGTAGGAGTGGTCATATAGCCAAGTTCTGGTCTTGAGATGTAAGAAGTTTGTGAGCAAGGTTTCTGAGAAACATTCTTTTAAAAGGACTAACTTAGTTAACAGGTATTTTCCTCTCCATGTTTCCTGTATATTCCCCTGCAAAAAAAAAAACTTGCATGTGATAGCTGGAGATGAAGCAGCCATATTGTGACCATGCATCAAGAATGAAGAAAGTAGGGGGACAGGGTATAGCTCAAATGGTAGAGTGCATGCTTAGCATACACAAGGTCCTGGGTTCAATCCCCAGTACCTCCTCTAAAAATAAATACATAAGTAAACCTAATTACCTCCCCACCTCCAGAAAGAAGAAGAAAGAAGACGGAAGAGAGGGAAGAGGAAGGAGGAGAAGAAGGAGAAGCAGAAGTAGAAGAAATAAAGAAGAAGAAGAAGAAATAAAGTAGCCATGCACTAAGGATGGCAAATAACAAAGGTAGAAGGATCCTGAGTCACTGTGAGACTGTGTAACTGCCATACAAGTCTTGGTCTGCCTATTCATGGACCTCTATAAGTGATGGAAAAATAAAACCCTAATTTGTTCAAGTCACTCTTTGGGGGATTTTTTTCCTCTTCCTACAAGCTGGGTGTAATTTCTAACTACACCCCTATTTTCCAGTTGTGAAAGTTTCACCTCTGAGAACTAAAAAGACTGCCCAAGGTCACATATGTAGTAAAACTAAGACCTGACAGTGTTACCAGGTGGTCTAAATCATTCAGCTACACTGCCTTCCTGGAGGCATGCAGGACTATGTTGGATACTTTGTGCCCAACACACTTCTACTCATTGGGTAGTTGATTTGTTGTTGTAAAGCTGGCCAAAGTTCATCTTTCCCTTTCCTTGCATCTAAACTAGAATTCTTTGGGGATTGTAGATATTAAAGAGTCCATTATCAGAATCTGGACTGGGAGACAGGATCTCAATTTCTCCACATGTGCAAGAAAAAGCTCAAACTAAGTGATCTGTAGAGCCTGAATGTCATTGTAGAATATCAGCTCTGACATTCTGCAAGCTAATGTCAGATCGGAATACAGTTTTGTAAGTCACCAGCCAGGAGGGTTGCTCTGACATCTCCGAGTCCTACCCTGACTTAGTCAATGCATGAATCTCCTGTACAGCATCCTATGACTGACTGCCCCTTTTTCACTTACATTCTTCCAATTCTTTTAATCAGTTCCAAATTCTCCATTTAGAGTTGTACCAGTTGAGTCATTCAATATGTTTACTGAATGAATGAATGAATTACAGTCATTACAACATTTGAATTACATTCAAATATAACCAAATTTATACAGGGACAGCTCTAAGTAAA